TGGGTAAGTTGCTTGAGGTCACTCAGTGTCTCCAGGATTGCAGTCTTATGCAATACATGGTCCTGTGTTTCAAATTGTATGTAGTAGTATGTGAAAACAACGACTAAGGTAGCAGGAGGCATATGCTGAGGTGACGAATTTTGGACAAGCATGAAAACCAAGCAGACTAGAGAAATTGCAGGTCCAAGGGCTATCCAAAGGAGTAATGGGTGGAAACTGAAGAAGGGAAAATTATATTGGAAATCAAAGGAAATTTTCCATCAGAAGGCTCTGCGTCATTATAGAACTGGCTTCCAAAATCAATGATAGAAGTGTTTTTGCTTAAGTCATTTAAAATGTGTTGTAACAGAAAGTCTTGCATTGGCAGGGGGATGGTCTATGCATGTATCTTCAAATCACCCAGTAGGAATTCTGATTGTAGTAAACATCCCTGATTACATAGTTAATTCACATTGCACAAAGTAGGAATAAAGTTTGAACTCTGTACTTCATTTAGGAATCCGTAGTGATTTTTGTATCTCAGGAAATTTGTTTTCTGGAATTCATAATCCATTTTTTGTCTAAGAATTTAGACTCTCCAAAGATGTATCTCATTGCATCTCAAACAAATGGTTTTTTGGCACATATCTTCACAAATGTATACATATCAGATAACAAAGGGGGGCACTGACTAATATTGCTACAGTGAATAACTAATTAAACATGTATTGTCAAAAGAACATTAGGTATTTTTAATATACCAGGCAGTTCCCTCACAGGTAATGGCTTTAATGTTAAAAGCTGTTTCTCTTATTATGAGACTGTTTTTTATCATTTGTTTTTTGATTGCTTACACGCGAAGACAGGCCTTAGAAAGTTTAGACTTAACTTTCAGCATTTGTTGCTAAATATGCTAACAAACAAGATGTTCCAGCAAATTGTGGTGTGTCTTAGGGTATGTCTACACTTGCACCCTCATTCGAGAGAGGGATGCAAATGCAGCTCAGCGAAATTGCAAATGAAGCGTGGATTTGAATTTCCCACGCTTCATTTGCATAATCACGGACCGCCGCTATTTCGAAATACCCTATTTCGAAATAACAAACGCTGTGTGGATGCAGTTATTTTGAAAGAAACCCCTTCTTTCGAAATAACCAGTAAACCTAAGGGTTGCACAGTCAAATACAATTGCTGGTACCTCCTTTTGGCAGCTTTTCAGGGCAGATGCCCATTGTGAAAGGGATATGGATATTGGATAAAATGGACTGGGAAAGGATGTAAAATGAAGCATCCCTTAAGGGAGCTGTAGAAGGTTTGGGACTCCTTTTAATGTTGCAACAGGGAGCCAATGCCTCCTCCTTTCTAGCTCTTTGATGAGATGGCTGGGACCAAGGTGAGTATTATATGGAAAGGATTAAGGAAACAAGAATAACCTGCCCTGTGCCATTTATTGTCCATGTATTTTAAATGAATTAAACTACAGCTAAGTAAACCACATCCATTGCCAACTGTGTTTCTTCTGACATGGACAGACAGTGGACTTGCCCTTAGGGAGTTTTTCCCTAAAGCCAAACGGTTAGCATTGACTTATGCTAAGGCATCACAACTTAAACCTTCTAAATTATTTTACTTTAGGTAACTGTGGCACACATCTTATCTATATATCTGTGTCTAGTCTTGTATTTTAATGCTACCAAGCTCTTGGTTTCCATGATGTTTTATGGCTATTAGGTCTGCTGAATGCCTCTGTTTTAAATTAGCCTTTTATCAAATAACTCCTTGTGCATGAATTGGGAGAACTAAATTAGTACTTGATACTGATCTGCTCTTATCCATTCATCATTTTCTAAAACTTTGTCAGATCCCTTCTTGCTCATTTCCTCTCTCAGTTGTCTCCATCTTTTCAATATTTTCTCATACCGAAGTTTTTCCATGCCTCTAATCTACCTCCCTCCGCCCATGTTTGGACTTGTTCTATTTCTGTCTTTTTGGAGATTAGGTTACTGGAACTAAACATAGTGTTCCTGGTGAGGGTGTGTTATCTACCTACAATACTGGCATTACGATACTGTCAGTATTACTTTCTAACCCATTCTCTGTAGATCTGTATATTGTGTTTGCCTTATCAACTTTTCCACAGTATGTGAAGTAGATGTTTTCACTGCTCTGTCACATCAACATCTGTCCCTTTCTCAACACTTGCAACATGTTTGACTACTTAAAATATTCCTTTGTGTGCATTAGTTTGCACTTGACTATAATGCATTTCAGTAAGAATTTATAGCAAAAGAGGACTAAGGGTCCCATAGGGTTTGTTTTTTGTTTTTTTTTGGTTTGGGTTTGGGTTTTTTATCAAATACGGTTCTCCCTTAATACAGGCATGTGATATTTGGGAACAGCCTGTTATTCCTACGATCAGGGCATGCAAAGACAACTTGTCTTTATATGGGAATAATGATGATGAGTTTATTTCTGAGTAGATGTTTGTGATTAAAGTGGAATGTGGCATGTGTGATGTTTGGAGTGATGTGAGGTAAGGACTAGGGGATGAATTGCATTTGATTTGTAGCAAGTTAACCAAACTTAGGGGTTTGAAATAGACTGTGACAGGCTATAACTATTACCTATTAGAATGTAGTTCTTCAAATTAATCTGTGGGAACACAGTTCTCCAAAACCCAGTTCTGCAGAGCCACATTCCATCTGCACAGCTTCAAGGCAGGAACCACATATTTGACAGTGCCAGCAAAATGGTAATAAATAACAACAATAATAAATACTAAGTCTTCAAATGAAGGAAATGGAGGTATGCTGGGATTGATTTCATTGTGGATGAAATATCATCATAGGAAAGACATTCTTTCTGGACTCATGTCAGTTGTACCACTGCCTTCATATACTCTATTGCTAAGATGTAGAAAGTATGGTCATAAAGTCATAAGTCTTGTTCTAATGTTCTTACTTTCCTCGCTCTGTCTTGGGGTCTTCCACAGAAAAACGACTCTCCAGAGGTATTTCTCATGCCAGCTCAGCTATAGTCTCTCTTGCTCGATCACATGTAGCAAATGAATGCAACAATGAACAGTTTCCTTTGGAGATGCCTATATACACATTCCAGCTACCAGATCTCAGCGTATATAGTGAAGATTTCAGAAGCTTCATAGAACGGGACTTAATCGAGCAGGCAACAATGGTCGCTTTGGAACAAGCAGGTGAGTGAATGCCCTGGATTGCAGCAGCTGCGTGATCTGACACTTGGTTTAACGTTCTTTGATCACACTTTTTGTTACTGCAGCTGGCACATCCTGCACCAGAAATAAATGTGAGCAAGCAAAAACAAGTACTGTGTTGTTTGGAATATAACACACAGTTGCCTCCCTATCTTTAAGACTCTGCAGTGATTCGCAGCATATTGGTTTAATAAAACAGGGGTAACTGAGGTAGAAAAGAGGCAAGGAGGAAGGAGGGGAAAGAGGATGATGAGCCAGGGGAGTGAGGCTGATCAAGTGGAGGGTAAGGGGAGAAAATATTGTAACTCATTGAATGCTGTCAGTCAACAGATATAGATAGAGAGAATCATGAGCTTTTGTGCACAAAACCCACTTCTTCAGATGAGTGGAGGAAAAAAAGGGCCAGAGTTGGGACCATTTATAGCACTCTGCTTGTGACTCAGCTTCCCCATCTATAAAATGAAGCATGAAATAGTGAACAGATATATGTTAGTGTGGGTGTGAATTTAAAGCTAGCAAAACATGGTTAAGAACATTCCATTATAAATGGTATATTAATGAATGACAGACTCTCAGGAAGTTAAATAGCTACATCCTGTTAAGAGACAGTCAGTTTCAGTACTGGCTCTGCTGGTGACATTTGGAGGTTACCATAATTTGAAAGATAGTAGACATAACTGCAAACTCCAACCCCCTCTCCCCTTCCCTCACCCTGCCCAAAGGCCATGCTCTTTGTAGGAGATCCTGGCATCTCTTACATCAAAAACCCCTCCTCCCCCATCACCTTGTGTCATTTTTAGGTTCTAATGAGCTTCTAAATAAATAGCTTCACTAGCCACAGTAGGAGAGGTACTTACTCAGCATACTCCTTCTACACTGGCATAAATAGAACATCAGTATCACAACTATGTCTGTTATCTTCCCTTCCCTTAATCTTCCATCAAAACCTTGTAATTTTGAAATACATTTTGTCAGTTAAGTAGAATTTGCCCAAGAATTTATCAGAAACACTGTATCAGAATTATATCCGTAACAGTGCAATATGTTTTTCTTTTTCCTCACCTATACTGAAAATTCTATCGTGCATGAGTTGCTTGCATCTTGGTTTTACATGGGGGTGTACATGGCGTCATGTCATTTTAAAATTGTGTATTAAGCCATCTGTTAAAATATGGAGCCAACTGAGTCTACTAACCCGTGTGCTAGAAGAAAAGTACTTCTGAAAATCAAGCAAAATTACATGTCATAAAGTCTTGGCCTTAAAGTCTCAAATCTTCATTGAGCAGCACTATCTGTTGCTGATACAGCACATGTTGCATAATATGTAAATGTTTTTCCTAATGCAACATACTTAATACTGGATCTATTTGCAATGACTTATTTAAAAACACTATATTTTCATTTAATATAAAGTTACCAACAGATTTACCCAGTGTTGCTCTGTTCCTTAACTATAGTAATGGTTAGTATTTTCTTTTTGAAAATTAAGAGGAAAATGTGCATGCTGTATTTAAATGTATCAGGAAGGGGTTGGGTGAGGAGCTCAGAGCAGGGAATGGGGGCTGGGAGGGTAAGGGAAGAGTTTTGGGTGTAGGGGGGCTCAGAGCAAGGGGTGGCGGGTGCTGGAGTGAGAGCAGGGGGTGGGTTCAGGAAACAAGGTTCAGTGTTGATGGGGCAGGGGCTCAGGGAAGGGAACAGAGATGGGGGTTCAGAACAGAGAGTGGGGGTGTAGGAGTGAGCCAGTGGTGAGGGGCTCAGAGCACAGGGTGAGGGGAGCTCAGGAAAGAGGGTGGGGTACATGAGTCAGGGCAGAGGTTTGGGCGTGGGGGGGCTGGAGTCAGGTCAGGGAGTGGGGCACAGGGTAGGGGGGAGGGTCAGGAGTGAGGATGAGGATTACAAGGGCTCGGGGCTCAGGGAAGGGGTTGGAGGGCATTGGAATGAGGGCAGGACTTGGACTCAGGGCAGGGAGTTGAGTGTGGGGAGGCTGAGGGCAGAGATTCGGGGTGCCATAGTTGGCGCAGGGAATGGGAGCTCAGGGTAAGGGGTGAGGGTGCAGAGGTGAGGCGGGGTGGGAGTGGTGAGGGGGCTCAGGGCAGTGGGAGGAGGATCCTGGAGCGAGATAGGGGGTGGAGGACTCAAGTACACCCCCACGTACACCCCCATGTAAACCCACAGGGTTCAGTGGGGGGAAAGGCTCAGGGCAGAGGAAAGGAAATGGGGGCTCAAGGCAGGAGCTGAGAGGTGCAAGACTCAGGGCAAGGGACTCAGAGCAGGGGGCTGGGAGACCTAGCGGGGAGCTTATCAGTGCTACCTGTGGCAGCAAGGGTGGTGCTGCTCTGGAGGCAGCTCCCCCGAGGGCCCCAGCCAGTGGTCCTCCGGGGGGGGGAGCTCCAGGGAACTGGGGGCCGGACTCGGGCCTGGGCCTGGCCTCTGATACACCCTCAACCTCCAGTTGGTCCGGGAGCGGGGACTCTGGGCGCCGGCCCAGCCACCGGCTTA